CCCCAAAACCCCAAAACCCCAAAACCCCAAAACCCCTGAAATTAGGGAAATAATTGGAATTAGTTAGTAATATAGCTGCTTCTTTTTAGCCTCAGCGACCTTTTGCATAACTTTTAGTTTATTATTCATTTCTCTTTGGTAGATTTTTCAGTCAATAAGCTTAACATAACTCTGTCTTCATTCGTAAGGAATTGTTTTAAGGTACTCCCTAGCTCTTTTGAAGATCCTCTGTCTGAACTGGACTTCTATGTATTTGAGATCATTCATAGTATCTCAGTAATAATGATAAGGCTCTTCAAGACCGCTCTTAGCATTCTCATCCAAATATGTTCATTTCTCTGCTGCTATTTTAGCTTCTTTGTACAACAGCCAGACACGAGTAATAGAACGGAGAGCTATAATCTTCCTCTTGTTGCTAGTGAGCGACCTCTGCTGCTGAATTATATTGCTCCTCTGTTTCATCTCCTTCAGCTTCCTTTGAGCAAGAATCTGTCTGAACAATGATTGGAGTTTTATTAACTTATTTATATCATAATCATGATCGAATTCTGGTGAGATCTTTTTGGATGCATTCTCTTTGAAGATCTGCATTTCAGGATCTTTCTTTACTAGGAGTACCTCCTTTTGAGGAGTAGCAACCTCGTTACTACACAAGAAGTTTGAGAAAGGATCTTTGTGTCCAAAAGCTGGAGTTTCATGCACTTTGTGATCCTTTGTGTCATTCTGCTGTTTTTCAAATATCATTGATGTCTTCTCCTGTTGTTGAGAGTTCTCTCTAGAATCATCTCTAGATGTTACATGAATCTCTTCTGTGACTTGTTCTTTAATACAATCGAGGTTTGTATCAGAGAAACCTAGAAGAGTATCTTGGGCTTCTGAATTTTGTTCTTGTCAGAGATTTTGATGGTCACTGTCTGATTCAGTAATATCTTCAGGGATATCCAAATCTGCATTTTTGGCTACCAGGTCATTTACTATATTTGCTATTTTCTCTTGTCTGGTCATTCCTTCAGTACTCTTATCTCCTATATGCCCTTGATAATCCCCATCTTCATGCTGAAAATTATCATGGCTAGATTCAAAGTCATTAAGGGATTCTATTTTCTTGTCTAGTTCTTCATCGGCCATATGGATATTAACCATAGCTTCGGCTGTTGCTTTCATTTTGGCTTCTGCCATCCTGATCATCGACTCTACATCGTCTCCATTGGTTGTGCTTTTGTGTGCAAAATCTCTGTCTTTCTTCTGTTTAACTGCTAGACTTTTCGATGGAGAATACGAGTTATATTCACCATCTTGCTGATCATTCAGATCAGTTTGCCCATTTTCTACCCTCTTCGGCTTCTTTTCAGAGCTTTTATTTGTTTTCCTGGTTTTGACTATATGCTCTTTTGTTTAAGTTTTGAGACCTCTTAGGCTTCATATTAGGCACATTATCCTTAGTCTGCAATGTTGATGAGGGATTTTTGTGACCAGAAGGATTAGGACCAACCATTGAATTATTCCCTTGGTTTCTTGGGCCTTGGGCTGTCCTTCCTCTAGGCTTAGTTTTGGTCCTATTAATCCTAAAATCACTTCGTTGTCTTTCAGCTTTTAAAACTCTAGCCCGAATAGGCTTATGCTGATTAAGCTCGTTTGTATTTTCATCCCCTGAGATGTTCATTTGCTCATGAACCCAGTTATTTTGCCGTTTAGAAGAATAATGAGTTTTAAGAGGCCTTTTCATGTAACCTGTATCTCCAATCTTAATAGGGCCTTTGTTATATGCTCTCCTTTTATAGATTGGCAGGACCTCATCATTCTTGTTGAGATTCCTCATGCTCTGGTTTGGCATAGGCTTTCCCTTCCCTCTATTTTTCTTTCAGATCAGCTTATTCTTATCTGTAGTTTTCCTATTATCAAAAGTAGTCCCATCTTTGACGCTCGAATTTGGAGCTTCAGGCTCTCTAGCGTTCAGTGGTAAGTTCTTGTTTTTCATAGACACATGACCAGAATTTTCATCGTAAGGGCGGAACATCAAATTGTCTATTTTTCGTTTGGATTCCTCATGATCAACACTAGGCAGGGAACCTTTGGCAGCGGCCATTTCAGAGATTGTGCTTGCATTAATGTCTTCTCTGTCTTTCTCTTTTTCAAGATTTTGTTTGATATTGGCTATATAGGATTCTTTAATATTTCCATCGCTTGTGTTTTCATTCAAATAAGACCTTCTTTTCTTATTTTGAGCAGTATAAGGTTTCTCCTTCCCTCGTTCTCTATTTTTAAATGACTTCCCTCTATTCTGAGTTTTCTTACGATGTTGAGGATGTGCTGGATCGATGAAGCTAGTTCCAGTGCTGTAGACATTAAAATGAGGCCGGTTATTGCTATGCCCAGATTTTAATCTCCTGCTCATGGCTTTCCCATTCTTGTGCTTACTGCCTGCGCCTCTCTTGGAGATTTTGCTCACAGCTTTCGGGTCCTGAAGATATGGAGTATTTTTATAGTCATTGCCAAACTGTTGGTAGTCTGATGAATACATGTTGAGTCTTTGCATATGATTCATTTTTATATTTTAAATACAAATTTAAGTTTTAGGGGTTTTGGGGTTTTGGGGTTTTGGGGTTTTGGGGTTTTGGGG